TTTTATTGATTTTTTACAGAGAGGAAGGGAGAGAGATAGAGAGTTAGAAACATCGATGAGAGAGAAACATCGATCAGCTGCCTCCTGCACATCTCCTACTGGGGATGTGCCCGCAACCCAGGTACATGCCCTTGACCGGAATCGAACCTGGGGCCTTTCAGTCCGCAGGCCGACGCTCTATCCACTGAGCCAAACCAGTTTCGGCAATTTTTTTTATTTTTTAAATATATTTTTATTGAGTTCAGAGAGGAAGGGAGAAGGAGAGAGAGATAGAAACATCAATGATGAGATAGAATCATTTATCAGCTGCCTCCTGCACGCCTCACACTGGGGATCGAGCCCGAAACCCAGGCATGTGCCCTGACCGGGAATGGAACTATGACCTCCTGGTTCATAGGTCAATGCTTAACCACTGAGCCACGTTGGCTGGGCTACATGACCTCATTTAATGTCTCACTTTTGCTGATGAGGAAAATGAAGTTTGGGTGGGTCAGGTAATTTGCCTAAGAACACACCGTGGGAAGGGGCAGAACCACTCAGAACCCCTGCTCTTCAGCATTGGCCACGCCTGTCTCAGAGTCTCCACCGAGGGTGGGGCGTGAGGGCCCCGCTGGAACACAGGTGCCCGCTTCAGCCTAAGCATCAGGCAGCTCAGGAGCCGTGGGACTCGTGGGAGCCTCGGCTTCCTCCCAAATCCCCGGAGACAGCCAGCGGAGGGCCAGCAGCCCCAAGATAGAGAGAGAGTAGGACCAGCCATCCTGCCAGGGCCTTGGACCTTGGCCCTCCTCCCCATGGATGAAGGGATACCCAGCAGAGAAACATGGTCTCAGGTCCCTCCAGTCCCCTGATCGCGCTTTCCTGGCCCAGGTGGTGAGCTCCTACATCCAGAGTGAGTTCACGAGCGTCCGCACTTCCACCTCCGTCCTGGACCTCTTCCGAACCCCGGCCATCCGCAAGGTCACGTGCTGTCTCATGGTGGTCTGGTAGGTGATGGGCTCATGCCCAAGACTTTGACCCAAGTTAGAGACATAACTTTTGTCCCCACTGACTATTTTTTAAAAATATATTTTTATTGATTTCAGAGAGAAAGGGAGAGAGAGAAACATTAATGATGAGAGAGAATTATTGATAGGCCGCCTCCTGCATGATACGGGGATCGAGCCCGCAATGTGGGCATGTGCTCTGACCGGAAACGAACCATGACTTCCTGGTTTATAGGTTGACGCTCAACCACTGAGCCACGCCGGCCGGGCCACTGACTAACTCTTAAATATGCTTAATGCAATGAGCAGGTGAGCCTTGTGCATCCGATCCTGCTCCACACCCTTCCTCCGGGGTCCTTTGGCCTCCGCTGGTGCTGCGATGTGGCCATGGATGAGACATCCATGCTGACCTAGGGACCCCACATCTGTCCCTGGAGAGCCCCAGGGCAGAGCAGAATGAGACATGGTGCCCAGATGCCTCCAATAGGTGCCCACCCAGGTGAGACCTGCTGCCCAGATGTGGGGACCAGAAGGGGACAGACAGGAAAACACTAATTCCCGTGAGGTATGACAAGTGTCCCAATAACAGTTCCCTTAACTGGGGCTGCTGAGGGCTTCACACAGGGGATGGCATTTAGGTGGGTTTGAAAAGACAGTTAATAGCCGGTTGGGCTCAGTGGATAATGTCCGCTTGTTCGATTCCGGTCAAGGGCATGTACCTTGGTTGCAGGCTCCTCCCGGGCCGGGGCCGTGGTCAGGGCACATGCAGGAGGCAACCAATCCATGTGTTTCTCTCACATCAATATTTCTCTCTCTCTTCTACTCTCTCTAAAAATCAATGAAAAAATATCCTTGAGTGAGGATTTTAAAAATAATAAATAAATAAATAAATAAAATCAAAGACAGTTAACAGAGTTTGCCAGGTGAGCAGGAAGAACTTCCCGACAGGTACGTAGATAGGCATAAAGATGTGCAATGGATAACAATACGAAGGCAACCCCTACCTGTTAGCACAGACTGGACGCTAGCAAATGCCGAGGGAAGGGGCTGATTAAAAAAGAAAAATTAAATTTGCCTGACTGGGTGTCCTGGACATAAAGATAATAGGGGTTGATATTGAGGAAGCGTGGGCTGCGGGCCATGCACTACCTGAGCTCTGGAGCAGAGCAGGCGCTGTCGGTAAGGTCGCCAGCTGGGCTCAGGCCGACCAGCCTTCTGGGCCTCAGTTTCCCACTTGTGCCCCTGCCCCTGAGGTCCTCGTGAGGACGGAGAGTTGACCTGTAAACCCACCTTGGCCCTGGAGATGTTCAGGGGAAGGGTCTGTTCTCGTAGTTGAGGTTGGAGCGGCGCGCCCATGTGCTGGGACCTTCCCCAGCAGCCTGCTCTGCTGCCTCTCCCAGGTTCTCCAACTCCATGGCTTACTACGGCCTGGCCATGGACCTGCAGAAGTTTGGGCTCAGCGTCTACCTGGTCCAGGTCCTGTTTGGGGTCATAGACATCCCGGCCATGCTGGTGGCCACCACCACCATGATTTACGTGGGCCGCCGAGCCACAGTGGCCTCCTTCCTCATCCTGGCTGGGCTCATGGTGATCGCCAACATGTTTGTGCCAGAAGGTGAGCCGCGGGCTTCTGCCATTACCGCCTGGGAGCCTCTGGGGTCTGGGGTCTGGTGGGCAACAAGTACAACAAGGGAACAAGGAAGAGAGAGATCTGGGAAGAAAGTGACTGTCCATCAGCAGGGGTTTTAATGAGCACTCGGTGCCTAGGGTCAGCTCCTGGCTGTAAATGCCCTCAGGGCATTTCCCATCTTATCGGGGATGTTAGATTGATGCATCAAACCAACCAAAGGGCTGGCTGGTGTGTGTCCACCTGGAGCCTGGACAGGCAGCATTTCCAGGGCCGAGAAGTTCAAGTGTGAACCTCAGCCGCTGGCCCTTAGACAGTGGTCTGCAAACCGGCCTGGAGACCTTTGAAAACTCCCAGTGCCCAGGGGCCCCAGGCCAGTGCAGTTAGCCTCAGGAGGGGGACCCAACCCTTAGGATTCAGAAAGCTGTCCAGTGATTCCAGCGAGAAGCCAGGGTTGGGTATCCCAGTCCGAGGGCGTGTGCTGAGCCGAGGGCTCGCTGTGACAAACCTGGCAGGCTGTCTGACTTCTCTGTGCTTCAGTTCCTCCCTACAAAATGGATCGATTATTACTATGGGCATTTTGACAAATTTCTTCCAATCTTTTTTCCTATTTATTGATTTTGTATTTGATATAATCAAGATACTATTATATACATATGTAAAAAGGATTATATATGTGTGTATATGTGTGTATATATTATATATAATGTATTCCTTTTCACGTTGTATGTTGTCTAGAAACATGCTTTCCCATGTTATGCTGCAACATAAACACTTTTCCATGTTAGGACAAATGCTTCATGGCCCTAATTTTATATCGCTGTGTAATATCCCATCTAAACTGGTGATTTTCAACCCTGGCTGCCCATCAGACTCTCCTGGGGACCTTTAAAAAAATTACCAACTTGAGCCCAGCCCCAAGAGGCTTTGCAATAACAGAGATGGGTGGGGCCCAGGTGTGGGCATTTGATAAACTATCCCCTCCACTTGCAGTGTGCAGCCGGAGTGGCCACAAAGGATGTGCCACCATTTCCCTGCCCATTGCCCCGTGCTGGGCATGGGCACTGGGGCTGAGCTGTTGGTGAGCAGCAGCATGATGAGCGTGTGAATAACGGTAGCAGCGAGCATTTGATGAGCGCTAGCACCTGTACTCATGGCGTCCTGTCAACCTCAGGACACGCCAGAGAAGCAGGTGCTGCGTTTTCCTCATTCTTCAGAGGAGGACGGGGAAGCTCAGAGAGGTTACGTGACAGTGACCAGGGTCACCCATCTGGGTCAGAGCCGGGATTTGAACCTGAGCCCAACTCCAAAGCTTGTCCCGGCACCCCAGCAGGACCTGGTGACCGGTGGAAAGAAGGGGGAGCAGCAGCGAGCATTCGATGAGCACTAGCTCCTGCACTCATGGTGTCCTGTCAACCTCAGGACATGCCCGCGAAGCAGGCGCTGCGTTTTCCTCATTCTTCAGAGGAGGAGGGGGAGGCTCAGAGAGGTTACGTGACAGTGACCCGGGTCACCCATCTGGGTCAGAGCTGGGATTTGAACCTGAGCCCAACTCCAAAGCTTGTCCCGGCTCCCCAGCAGGACCTGGTGACCGGTGGAAAGAAGGAGGGGAGGAGGCAGAAGTCAGAGAAGGGCCGTGTGGGGACTCTGGGTCCCAGGTGGGGACGTGAGGTGGTGGAAACCCTGATTCACCCCCTCCAGGTTCTGGGCGCCCTGCCCGCCCCGGCTGTGCCCACCCCACGCCCTATGCCTCCCTGTCTCCTCCCCCACAGCACCCCGTCCCATGGCCCTCACCCACACCCCCACCCCCTCTGCCTCCCTGCTCCCTCTTGGGCTCTGAGCCACCCCTCCCACAGCCTGTCCGCCCTGCAGGTATGCAGACCCTGCGCACAGCCCAGGCAGCGCTGGGCAAAGGCTGCCTGGCTAGCTCCTTCATCTGCGTGTACTTGTTCACGGGAGAGCTGTACCCCACGGAGATCAGGTGGGTCTGTAGGGGGAGGCGGAAGAGCACCTGCCCCAAACTGGGAGCCCCCGGTGCTCCTGGCTGACACCTGCTAGGCTTGCCAAGGCAGGTCCCCTCTCCTTTCTGCTCGGTCCCCAGCACCCCTGCCCTCTGGGGTCTAGGCCACGGCCACGGACCTGTCCACATTCCTCACACAGGCAGATGGGGATGGGCTTCGTCTCAGTCAACGCCCGCCTCGGGGGGCTGGCTGCGCCCCTGGTCACCGCGGTCGGGGAGTTCAGTGCCATCCTGCCACCTGTGGCCTTCGGGGCCACCTCGATCCTGGCCGGGCTGACCGTCTGCTTCCTGGCTGAGACCCGCAACACACCCCTGGTGGAGACCATTGAGGTGATGGAGAGGAGGTGAGAGGCCTCTGGGCACAGCTGGGTGGGGGCGACCAAACAGGCTGTGGTCCCCAAAACAACTGAGGGCAGAGTGTCCTGTGGCTGCTGCTAAAACGTCACCGCTGAGCGAGAGCTGGGCGTCACCATGCCCAGCTCCTCCATCGGTGGAGGCTTAGCTTTCACAAGAACAGACCCAACGGCGAATGGTGCCATAGAAAGAAGAATCCGCTGTAGCCCGGCCCGTGTGGCTCAGTGGTTGAGCGTCAACCTATGAACCAAGAGGTCACAGGTTCAATTCCCAGTCAGGGCACAAGCCCAGGTTGCAGGCTTGATCCCCAGTAGGGGGCGTGCAGGAGGCAGCGATTGATATTTCTGTCATTGATGTTTCTATCTCTACCCCACTCCCTTCCTCTCCCTAAAATCTATAAAGAAAAAAGAAATATGTCTGGGCTGGTTGCCTCTCCACCTGGGGCAACGTAGGAAGGGCCTGGCATGCCCAGCGCCCAGGTCTCTGCTGTGCCCTGGTCCACGCTGAGTCCGGCCCAGCAGGGTGGCGTTGGTTGACTGTCTGGCGTTGGGTCCTCTTTGGAAAACTCTTTGACCGGCAGCTTTTCCAAGCTGATGTTTCTCTGTCAACGATGTTTCTATTTCTCTACCCCTTTCCCTTCCTCTTCCTAAAATCAATAAAGAAAAGAAAACGTCTGGGCTGGTTGCCTCTCCACCTGGGGCAACGTAGGAAGGGCCTGGCATGCCCAGCGCCCAGGTCTCTGCTGTGCCCTGGTCCACGCTGAGTCCGGCCCAGCAGGGTGGCGTTGGTTGACTGTCTGGCGTTGGGTCCTCTTTGGAAAACTCTTTGACCGGCAGCTTTTCCAAGCCTGGCTCTTACTAACCAGGCCAGCCTCTGCCACCGTGAGACCTCGTAGTGGAGCCAGGACGGGGCAGAAGGGACTGTGGAGACACGTCTCGTGCGTGACACAAACACCCTTGATCGTCACGCACACATCCCCTGCCCCTCACCACCTCCCTTCCACTTTCTTTCCGCGTCAGTATTCCATTTGCCTTCTCATTCCGCAGAGCCAAAGGCCTCTCCAGGAAGGATGCGGAGGGGAGGAGCGAAGACATTTCCCTTCAGCAGCTGGGAGCTTCTCCCCTCCTAGAGACCATCTAAGGTGCCCAGGGCCCGGCACACGCTGGCCGTACCTCAGCCGGTGTCCGGCTTCCTGGCGCTGACCGGG